ATTTTATCATAGTGGTGCCATCTATTAAAAAATAACCCTTCTTTTAAAAGTATTGATACAAAAAAAAACTCCAATAAATTCCTATTTATTACACCAGTTATATAAATGCTAAAAACAGGATAGAATCAGAAATACTATTTAATTTTTTTAAATATAATATTTTAAACTTTTTTTTAATGATATATTTATAGTGAAATGCATAGAACATCTGAAGATACAAATTTGAAGGAATGGATCTTGCAAATGTGAATTTTCATAAATTAAAGACTGACAACTTTATTAATCTCGCAATTAAAATGACGCATAAAAGCAATTTAAATGACGGTAATTATAGACTGTATGAACAATAAATTATTTCGTAAATATCTTTTATAAAAGAAGTGTAGAATGATATGAAATTAATTATCGGCAAATGTTTTGTACCAAAATTATACATGAAAAAAACTAAAACATGAGTATAAATTTATTATATTAAAATAAAATGTTAAAACTTTAATATGAGATCTGAAAAAATTCTAAAACTCTTTACAGATATAATAATTACATGCTTTGCCAAAGATTCTAGCATGGAATCAGATTTTTTCAATATTCCATAATCATCCGTATTTAACACTTTCAATTTTAATAAGTTTTATAGACAAATAATTTAAATCAACAGTATTTTATTTAAAAACGCTGAAAAATAGCTAATTTAAATGGAAAGTGTATATAACACATTCTAAATAAAAGTATTTTAAAAAAACAGTATATTAAAAATAAGAACAACAAAGTATCTTTACTTATCAAAAAGTAAAACAGAGTCTTCTTCAGAAATACCGCTGTTAACTAAATGTTGTTTTACTTCTTAATTCAAATTATTCAGTAACATATTCTCCAGAAAAAAATTAAACGTAAAATAAAAGCGAAGACATAATTTATTTAGATCACATAACAAAAGAATTTTATTTAGATTTACTATCTTTTGCTTTTTAAAATAAAACGATAGAAATTCTAGCTTATAGCTCGCACTTAATCAAATAATAAATAACTCACTCAAGTTTGAGCGAAAACCACTCAAGTATCGATTAAGTATTTATATACCACTCAAGTTCGATTGAACGCAAAGCAAGAATTTAGCTCAAATATAGGTGTATTTTACTCAAGTTGAGTTAAAAAAAATTTCACACTTTTTTGAGTAGGCGAAATCACTCTATCTTTTTAAGGGAGTATTTCTAACAACGCAACATAGAATGGAGTAGGTTTTTTTTTTAAATTTCTATCACTCCAAATGTCAGTTCTAGAGTCAAATGACACTGTAATAGGTCAGTTGAAAGAATAAAAAAAAATGCAGGAAGAGTATTTCATTTCTATTTAAAAGGTGGTAAAGCTTAACATTCTGTGATTGCCCCTATTTTATTTTTGGCTATGAAAGTATAATTCACACCCCGGCAAAAAAAGTGACACACGGAAAAATCAACTTAAAGAATACTATAAAACTTATTCTGAAATAGCATAATCTTGAGCACAATCTGAGATAGCACAATCTAGAAAGGAGATACTTTTTGAGCTTGATGGGGCGCTTCATATATATGTTTCATTGACATAACCTCAAAATTGCTGTTTTTGACTTGTGTCACTTTTCCTGAAGGGGTGCGAATTGTGTGTGATATTTCATGTGAACAAATATATATGTTTCGGTATTTCTAAGTTGTANGACACACGTCAAAAAACAGCATTTGAGAAAAATCAACTTAAGGAATACTATGAAACTTATTCTGAAATAGCATAATCTTGAGCACAATCTGAGATAGCACAATCTAGAAAGGAGATACTTTTAGAGCTTGATGGGGCGCTTCATATATATGTTTTATTGACATAACCTCAAAATTTCTGTTTTTGACTTGTGTCACTTTTCCTGAAGGGGTGCGAATTGTGTGTGATATTTCATGTGAACAAATATATATGTTTCGGTATTTCTAAGTTGTAAAGAAAATTTCTCTCAAAAACGGAAAAATGACGAAGTTAAAAATGGTCCACTTGAGATAATACTTACATTACTGTCTAATAATCAGGCTACAATAAACGCTTTTGGATTTTTTGGAATACATTTTTACCTCTTAAGTAATTGATATCTCAAAATTATTTAGTAAATATACTAAAAATGATACATAGCACTTAATTCAAGCGAATGTAGTACAGGGCTTAGGCTCTATGAAACGATATTTCTTCTGCCAACAAATATTTTGGTTGATTTCACATGACTAACCTACTTGCACAAGTTCATGAAGTGAAAATGCCATTTTGACATATGTAGTATTTGGGTCGATCGACTAAAATGAGACATTTAAACTTAGAAGTAATACCAAATATTTTTTAACGTTAGAAATAGCATTGACCGATTTATCGGAGATCTAAAGTCGCTAATGTAGATTCGGTGGATGGGAATCTAGAATAAATAGAGAAGAGAAGTAAAAAAAAAGTTCATCAATTATGGTGATAGACAGGCGTTGATTTCAGGAAATCATTAGTGATCAGGGTGTAAATCCCTTGAGAATGGTTTGCGGGGGTCCAAGCACTTCTTGATTCTATAGTAGGTCTTCTAGATCCTTCATTAAGGAAACCAGTCGATGGGCTGATGATGCAGGAGATGAGGTTTAGTGATTAAAATGGCCTTTTCTACTGGGACGTTGACTAGTACTGAGAGAAGTTAGAAATATGGTACTTCATGCTATTGTAGCATCTGGCTGGTGAGTCTCGGCTTTCTACGCACTGATACTTGAAGCAGTGCCCTTCGGCACACTTCATGCAAATGTTTTTTTTTACCTATTCCTATTTGCGGTTCTTTTCTGAGTGCCAGCCCTGTGAGAAGCTCTACCTCATTCATCTGATTGAAGTTGAGTTGAGAGTTGCTGAAGCAAAAATGTGACGGGGAAATAAAGCTTACACTCTTTATGTATCGGAGAAAATATACTGAATTACAATACAATTCAATTTAGCCACCCCCGGGGGTAAAACCCCAAGCTTCGCAAGTGCATAGAGTGGTGTATTGCCCGAGATGAGATGGGCAAATATTATTAACTGACTGACTGATACAGTTTTATCGGAGTGCCTATCGCAAGGGGATATCTGCTCCTTCATCTAAGTTAATAAAATTAAAAATGAAGATTTTACATAGATTGTTTACATAGAGTTCTTTCCATATTTTTGTCCAAATCCTGTAGATTTTACTTCAATTGTTAAAGTGCATAGTTGAATATTATTATTTTTTTAATAATTAATGTAGAAGGCCAGGAAGAGGATTCTTGTTAGCTGGATTGATAATCGTCATAAGTGTTTTGCTAGCAGCATTCTCTCATCTTTATTACAAGCTTCCACCAACTTATCATCTATCATATTTGAATCTCGAGTAAGTCATTTAGTGTTAAAATTTTTGAAATATTTAACTTCATAAGTTTCCTTATTGCTTAATCAATGAGAAGTTCATATTAAATTTAATGCTCCTAATTTTCGAATAAATGAAAGGAAATTAATTTTTATTTTACTAAATATAGAAATCGATTAAACTGCTAGGGCAGGAGTTTCTAAACTTTTGGGTATGTTTACTTGGAAAAACAAGATAATTGCTTAAAAATTTCTGTTTGAAGCAATAAAAATAATTTTATGTTAATACTGTTCTAGAAAAAGTATATTTTCCAAATTGTCATTTTATATAGCTATAAAATTTATTATGCTATTGACCTACGCATTATGCGTATAAGTTGTCTTATTTTTTACTCAAACTCGAGGCACAGGACTAATCAAATAGGTGTTTGACTTCAATATTTTGTAGTTTGTTTTGTTGTAGGTATTTTTTTTAATTCTTAAAAAAGTTTTTTTTTTCTTTACAGTGATTGGTTTTATTATGCTGTCAAAGGATACACACCAATTCATTTTCACCTTCCTACTTGCGCTATTGGATTAATTGTTGGTTACATCTTGGCGACCAAAAGAGGCCATATACCAGAAGTATTATCCTGTTTGTTTTACAATTGTTTTCAGTGTATCAAAAAACATTTTACTTTTATTCCTGACTGTACTGTCGTTTTAGTTCAGAAAGGTTGTAAGTGGATATAAAAGAAAATATTTTGTCAACGCTTTTTACAGACCAATTTCTTTAGTGTTTTCGGATCACTCTTTTAAACTTTAAAAAAACACAAAGTATGCAATTTTTCTTGACATTTTTTGCAAAATGATTTGTATATTTTTGTTCTTAATTAGTATCTTAGTTATATTTAAGTGAAAAATATTTCGCTCCTAAAGCTTTTTAAATAGTGCTTTGAACTTATATATGTAAAGTATAAGGGAGTAAAACTAATAAACAAAAATATGTATAATCGCAATGTGCTAGCACTTGATGTTTTAAAACTACGAATTGAACTTATTAATGTTTCTTCCTCTAAATACACGTTTTGAACAAAATTGTTTCTTTGGTTAGAAATCAACTTGTTTTAGATATAGCAAATTTAGCTATTTTCAAATTCGATATACGAAGGGAAAAAGATTTAATTGAAGAAAATAAATAAATAAACAATTTTCCCCTTTTCTGCATTACAACATTAAAGGGGTAAAGTAAGGGTAAAAGTTATTAGGGAGATCTGAATAATGTTATGGTATCGATTTACGTTGTTTTCAAAAACATTGTTTGTTGTTTCATAATCTTATTCAATGTAAAATTTAACAATCGATGCTAAGGGCGGTAGAGTTTTGATTCTACGTAATTTAAAATAGTCCCAGGAAGCCCACTCATGTTCAAGATGGTATTACAAGGGACCTAAAAAACTGAGTTCGTCCCCGGGTGCTGTAAACTGGGTTGAAAACTGCTCCGCTTACTGCAGAAGTTTTAATAAATTGGTAGCTAATTAAACAGTAAAGTTTGTAAAATAAGGATGATTACGTTTACTTTTATCAAAGTAATCGTATGATTGTTAAATTAATGCATTTTATATGAAACTTCAAATTTTTGATAAATAGTGGTGGAAAAAATGACATACAATGAAAAATTTTAAACTAAAAAAAACTTAAATTTCGTTATCCCTAGAAATTACTCTTTTACAAAACGGAGCAAGTTGGCATCTCTGAGCCCAGTTATGCCTCCGATTTAGGTATAATATCGGAGTAAATATGTGAAAAAATAATCAGTAGCTAACTAATAATAATTTCAATTCCTTTAACACTTAAAAATGCAAACAGTTTCATTAAATAATATTTCAGGAATGATATGTAACTATGACTCACTATGACATTGTTCATTATAACTGCAGACTAAGTTAAACTTTTTATTAGCAGCATATTAATGCCATAGGCTGGTTTCTGTCATTTATGACATTCTTAACTATGATGACTTTGACTTACAAGTGGAACCAAGGAGCGCACGCTCACCCAGGCGTCTTTGTCTCAACTTTATATGGCTCCACTCACAGACTGGCTTGGGGTCTGTGTTTAGCTTTTATAACATTATCGTGTACTTGGGGACAAGGCGGTAAGTTCACATTTTGCAGTTTGAGAAAAACATTGTGATATTTTTAATGCGTTTTGTAAGAAGCTTCCATCAATGGTTCAAACTATTTATATCTGAGATACTGAAATATTTTTATGAACCACACTTTTTGTACATTACAACTTTTGCAATGTTTACTCAGTAACTATAATCCATCATCTTGTGGTGTTTCTACACTTTCCATTTGATAATGTGTTGTATAAATTTATTTAAATTTCTTTAAATACAAAAATAATTCTGAAATTCACACATACATCTGTCCATTATTTTCTTATATTCCGTTACCATTTCTAAGTAGACGTCAAAAGTCAGCACAATAAAACCAAAATTTCTTCTACTACTTTAGCTTCAAAAAAACTTTTTGAGTTTACTTCTGTTAAAATGTTGTATATTTGCGAAATAAATGCTAACAGTGCAGCTTTTGTGATAGCGCTCTAAACTTTTCCGAAAAACAGTAATTTCCTTTTAAACTTTTTAAAAGAAAGCTGTATCAAAATAGGCTAATAATTGCTTTTTTTTAAGAGCTACCAGTAGTATTCTGATATAAATAAATATTAACAATGAATATAAACTTTTTTCGAAAAATAGAGAACTCCATTTGCTCCTCAAACTTTAATTTTGTCATGTATGTTTCTAAGTTTAATTTCAAGATGAATGGGAAAAGGGCAGTAAGGCCTCAGACGCCCAGTTCCACTACAACGAACGAACGAATTTTCGAAAAATAGAAATCTTTTTAAGGGAAAGCTAAATTAAAATGGCTAATAATTGCTTGCTTTTTTCTCCGGAATTATCAGTATTAAGTATTCTCAGATAAATAAATGCATACCTGCCAACATTTACTCATTTTGGGTGAAATTTTATTTTTTATTTAAAGTGGTAGTAAATGTATACTACCTTTCATTTATAAACTTATTTTTTTATGTTTCTGACCGCCAATATTCTTGAAAAAAAATGAAGCATATATATTAATATGTGAGAGTAACTTGGATGTCTGATTAAGATTTTTCAATATAAAAACGTTTTTTTTTCTGAACAAAACCTTAATTCAATTTCAATTTTACTGTCACTGGGAAAAATCAGCCTCGAAAGGATTAAAAATTGGCAGGTATGTAAATGCTAACAATGAGCCTTCTGTAATGGCACTTTCAAGTATTTTTCGAAAAATAGAACTCTCTGTTTAAAAAAAAAAGCCATCTTAAGATGTAATAATCGTTTTTACTTTTATTTTTCAGGAATCATCAATAGTATTCTGAGTTGGGAAGGCTTTGTACCATTCTCAAGATTGAGTTACATGGTGTACCTCATTCATCATGGTCTAACGTATATTTATACCGGGTCCATAAGGCAGTCAATGCTGTTAGGACATCGGACTATGGTAAGATCTTGTGCAAAAAATACTATTAAATAAACAAAATCTTTAAAAAAATATGACAAATAAAGTTCCTAAAATACACTATCCTCCCAAATATAGAAACTATCAATTTGAGATTCGTCTAATTTTCCGATTCCTTTTACTATATAGCTAAAGTAGTGTCTTATATCATAAGTGTGCTACGAATCAAAATGTATTAAGTCAGAACTTTCATGACTACATACTCTCCAACAATTGCTGTTATCGTTAATTTATTTTTCTCAATAGTAGTGAAAAAAAAAGCAGAAACTCTTGTAAAAAATTGAATTTCATATAAACCATTTACAGTTTTCGCACGACCTTAAAAAAATAAATGAGTGTTAGCTAATGTTTTTCCAGATTACTAAATAATGCTTAAATTTATTTTTCATTAGTTAATTACGAAATAACACCAGAGTTATTTTTCGCACCCTTTTATATATTTTTTAAATTAAATATTTATTGATAGCTTATGACATCTAGATAACTCTCACTTTTGCAACGACTTATAAAAAATTTCCAGACCCTGGGAACCCTGTTTTACTAAATCTTAATAAGATAGTTAAGTTTTTGCTCTTATAAGCTGTCTCCACTTCATTACAAAATTGCAATAAATCGAATATGATACAATTAAGTCCTAGTCGTAGTGTTTTGATTTTATTGGGCACCTGGGCCGCGAAGCGGCCCCTATCCCATTCATCTGGAATTTTAGAACAGTTTTGGTTGAGCAATGAGGTAAGCAGGCAATGGAGTTGCTTTTATGAATGTTTCAAGCTCTTTGCTTATTACACAAATGTTATTACATTATGAAATTGAGCAGCTTGCTCTAAACTGTGTTTGTTTGATTTTGGAGTTGTTCAGAATTGTATCAGCATGAGTAAACGTTATTTTCAGAAAGGTTGATGAAATTATTTGTTTTGATAGTTATGATATGAGGCGTCGGAGGTGAAATGTGCAGCTATTGGTCTGTAGTTTTTATCTTTGATATAATTTTCAAATTTAAAGATTTCATTAAAATTTGCTGTTTTACATTCTATGGCTTTATCGAAAAAATCTGCGTTTAGCTTGTATATATGCTGTGATAGAGTTGGTATTTTGAGGTCTGCATGTATATTGGTATTCCGGATGAACCATCTTGCACAGGTTATTTTTCTAAGGATCTTGTTTTGGCATTGGTTTAATTTCTTCAGTAGATGTTGAGGTATCGTTGTCCAGGCAGGTGAGGCATAGGTAAGTATTCGGCTGATCATTGCCGTATATAGTAGCTTCTTTAGTTTAAGTGGCATATTCTGATTACATATCAATGGTTGTATGGCTATTATTGCTGCATTTGATTTATCTATTGTGATTTTGATGTGATCATTCCAGGTGAGTTTGCTATTGATTATAAGGCCAAGATTATTTGCTTTTTTAACTATTGGTATTGGTATGTTGAACATTTTTGGTCGATGATACAATTAAATGTAGTAGATGTTCCTTACATCTATTTCAACAGTTTATAATTAGTGGTGGAATAAATTCTTATAATTCTGGTTAATCAAGATTTTAATGCATTACATTTAATTGCTACCACTAGAAAAATATTTTATGTATCTACGACAATTCTTTAGTTTTAGTAATTATATTTCAATTGCTACCGTAATGTTGCTCATCACAAAATGTTTTTATACAATGTTTTTAATCAATTTTCATGATGTATGGAATATGGGCGGCTGTGCGGCCCAGGTGCTTTGTTTTTGAATAATAAAAACAAGAAAATTATATTTCTGAGAACAAAGTAGCATGATCAAAAAGTTTTAGGGATTGTACAAAGTTTTGAAAAATCTCTATGTAAATAATCTTCTCTTAGAAGCAAATGTTTTGTAAGATTTGGTGTGGTAAAACTGTTTGCACAGTTTGAAATCATGCCAACTGTTGCTGATAAGCGATAATAGAAAGAACAAACCCAGAATGTCAATTGATGTCAGTGTGTTAAATTTTGAAGGCTCAGTTGCTTAGTTCGCGTATTGAAAAATAAAATACTGGAATATTTTGTAAATATATATCTCAAAGTTTCATTTTGCTTACTAAGTGCAGAGATGCCAACTGCTCCGGACACTCAAAAATAATTTATGCTTATGTGAATTCTTTAGCTAAGTATCGGCCCCGTCAGGGGCCCCAACTCATTCGTCTCAGCGGTATTAAAATAATTTAAAAACGATAAATAACATCTAAGTAAATTTTTCAAATATAAAGTGGTGACTTATATAGGCCTGCGAACTATTTAGAATTAGTGGTGGATAAAAATTTACTGAATTGAATTTGTTAAACCAAGAATCGCAATTGATTATTCATTTAATACCACTTTAAAATATATATTTGCTGTCGGGAAATAAGTTGGCATCTCTGTAAGTGTTATATGTATTATTTCATACATCAAATTGACGCGTGTTCGTAGAGATATGTATATATCTAACATCCGTAAACCTAGGGTGAAATTTCCCCATTCTAACCGTTGTTAATTATAAACTTAGACGAAGGAGTAGATAACCCTAATTTGCCTCTATGCTCGATACAGGAGTTTTCTGTTTTGGGTTCAAAATTACAAATTGAATGGAGTTGAACATTGGTAGTCATAAACACAAATTTGGGTCGGCTGTTATACGACAGTTCTAAAAAAAATATCACAGTAAAGATTTTAACTGAATCACAGAAGATTAATATTTAACTTCATGAACGATTATTGAGTGTAATAAAATGTAGCTATTCCAGATGTATTCCTTCAAATTTTATTACGTAAAAATTTTAGCTGTGACAGGATACATCTCTTTCTAAAACTGCTGGATTGAACAGTCAGGAATGTGTTTCCAAAAAGGGTCATATAATTAAAAAAATTAGAGAACTTTACTTGGAGAAAATCGTAAAGTCAAATCTACTTCGTGAATTATGCCATTTTGCTGAAACAAATTAAGTTATTTAATAAATGATGGTTAAAAATGACGGTAAAAAATAAAAGTAATTTTATTTTATAACCATCATTGAACAGCCGGCCCAATTTCTGGGTTTACGACCACTAATGTTCAATTCCGTAGCCTTGTAATTTTTAACCCAAACCAGAAGATAAGTGAATTCCTAGATTAAGCATTGGGAGAAATGTGCCTTCGTTAAAGACTTTTTGAAGGAACTAGCCTGTATTTGCGTTACATGGAGAGGAAAATTACAAAAACCTTCCACGATTAGCATGACGGAGAGGGGATTCTAACCCATGATTCTAACCCATTTACCTCTGAGGATATTTTTAAGTCAATACCATACCTGCCAACTCTTCCGGATTTTCCGGAAGATTTTATTTTCACATTTAAAGTGGTAGCAATACTCAGGTTATTCCAATTACCTTTTTGAATTATAATGATAATATAAATGAGTTTGACCACCACTACAGATAAATAATTACAATAAATATATCAAAACATAATAATATTTGCTCAAGCGAATTTCAACGGGATCAAAATATAAATATTTTTGTGAGTCAGATTGTTTTTCGTTTTCTGTTTTACAACCACTCTGAAAGTCCATTCTCGGAGAGAGGGAAAGTTGGCAGGTATGCAATACTGTGGTCGGTGCGTGCAGGGTGCCGAATTCGCATCTACCAGCCATCGCTGTGATTCAAATCCGGTTCACCTTTGTGGAAGGTGAACGCTCTATAGCCTGCGCCGCCACGGATTAATTCTAAGTTATAGTTTGTCTAAAGTAAGAACTTCTCTAGCCATTCGTCTAGACCCGTGGCGATGACTATGGCTACGAGGTACAACTATTTCAAGTAGGGATGCGGGGTCATTGTTTAGGACAGGTTTTGGCTCAAGCGAGAGAAACAGAATCTTTTTCTTCCGTCTATAGTGTTAGCCCCAAATTGAAGAGAAACTACCTTCCTTGAAATGCGTTGTTCTTGTTCCCATAGCAGCGGACAGCCTCAGATTTTGTGGTGGGAAGTTCTTACTGTAGACAAACTATATCTAATTTTCCCATCTTTCTCATCTTTGCACAATTTCTAGCACTTCAGTGACTTGTAATGCTATTATTGTGTTTCGACTCGCATTTTGAAAAGTATTAGTGCTAGGGGTAGGACAAAAATATAGAAAGACTTCTATACTAACTCTATGTAAACAATCATTCTTTTAGAAGTAAATGTTTTGGAAGATTTTAAACTATTTCAAAACTGTTGACACAGTTTAAAAGATAATGCTTGGAACTTTAAAAAGTGGGGTCCTTTTTACCTTTATAAAATTTACATCGACCAACAGAGATGTCAACTGATCCGAATTCGACAAAATATTTTAAAAAATGGACGAGAACTACAAACTAAAATGTGAAGATTTTCGGTTACTTTCGCCAACTTTAAACAGACTCAACATGGCTTTACTTAAGGGAGGCAAACTGTTCGCCGTTCTACAAAAATTTTAATAAATTGATAGCGAATTTAATAGTAAAACTTGCAGAATGAGTCTAATTACGCACCGATATTAGCAGTTTCACCCCGATATGAGTACAATAATGTTGCATTTCATACGATAATTTGAATCTGATATAAATATTACAATTCTATGTTTAAAAGCTTTTTGAATTGCTTGAATTTTTTAATAACGATGCCTGATTCACCCATGCTAAATTCGAATCAATCAAAGTTCAGAGAACAGGGCCCGAGGTATGGATTTCAAATTATTAGCCAGTAAATTAGACAACTATCGAAACAAATGCTTAGGACCTGAAAGAGGAAGTTAATAACTGCTTATTAGCTTTAATATTAGCAATTTCATAAACAAATTTACAGGATTGCAACATTTATAGTAGAATGCTTTTTTAATTTTAGTGATATAAAAAAAGAAAAGAAGTTTTTAACTACCTACACTAATCTTGCTCGATGCAACTTTTATAGGAGTAAAATGGATCCTACTTCTAAAAGCTTCAAGTATGATTTTTCAAACTGTGACAACAGTTTGCCCTGTAATACCTTCCCAAACATTTACTGCTGAAAGAAAAATTGTTTACTTAGAGTTAGTATAGAGGTGTTTCTTTTTATTCCAAATCTTGTATATCCCATTTAACTTTTCTTATTTTGTCTGCTTTCCAGATCTTCATATTTTTCAATAATATGTTCCTCAGCTTCTTGGCAGCTTTTGTGCTAGGTTTAATCTTCGAGTCGCCTTTAATGGCATTAAATAAAGCATTTTTGGATGGGAAGCTGAGAAAAAAAAATATGCCAGTCGATACAGAGAATGGAACTGTTATATTGAAGAATGCTGAGTGAATATTGAACTGTGTGAATATGACTGACTTATTTCTTAAAGACGTCTTCTTTGAAAAGTGTGTGTGTCAGTTCTTCATTCATGCTGCCATAAATCCATTGGTAATTTCCAAAATGTTTTAACCATTCCTAAGCTGTCTATCACAAGTCATTAAATTAATAAAAAAATTAAAAAATTAAGATGAAAAAGGTAATTGCCAAATTTTAATGCATAGTAATACGCAGATATCAATTAATTGTTCTGAAACATTGCAAATATGCTCCAGATCAGAGGAAACTTAATTCCTTTTCTTCGTTCAGATGTATTTATTGTTAAAAATCCTGAAAGATTTTCGATAAAGAGAAGAAAAAAATTATCCTTTTTATGTCATAATTTAAGTTAATGATATTGTAATTAATTCAGTACTAAACTTATATATGTAAACAATAATCAGACTTTTGTTTAATAAACATTTATAAGAAAACTTAAAATAGAGTATGCATACTCTTTTAAGTTGATGAGCGATTTCTAGTCATTATAAATATTTGTAATACACTGTAGCTATTTTTTAATTATGAATTTATACTAAAAAACTACACTACAAAATCATGCACAAAACTTAATATAAATATCGACGCAGAGAATAAAGCTAAAATATTTCTGATGTTTTTTTATTTATTGATTTTTTTGATATATTGAAGTAGGTTATGAAAAATGAATACTGTCACATTTGAGCTGCTAAAAAATGCTCCCTCCCTTGTAGTAGTCTAAGGTCATTTTTTTAAAAGTAAAAGCAAAGTATGTTTTAAGGGATTTACCTAAAAAAACTTTTGTTTATAAACTCATTCTAAATAACTCATTGTAATAACTCATTTTGTAAATAACTCATTCTAAACTTTTGTTTTATTATATTTATTAATATATCGCTGCTTAATTATGGACATCCACTTGTTTCTTGGAGCATTGTTGCGTTTCAGAGTTATGCTTTATCAAATAGTTAAAAAATTCAATTTTCACATTTGAGCTCCTAAAAATGCTCCCTCCATTATAGAAGTTCAAGGTAATTTTTTTAAAAGTAAAAGCATAGTATGTTTTAAGGGATTTACCTAAAAAAACACCCTAAACTTTTGTTTTATTATATTTATTAATATATCGCTGCTTAATTATGGGCATCCACTTGTTTCATGGAGCATTGTTGCGTTTTAGAGTTATGATTTATCAAATAGTGAAAAGATTCAATTTTCACATTTGAGCTCCTGAAAAATGCTCCCTCCATTATTGAAGTTGGAGGCAACTTCTTTAAAAGTGAAAGAAAAGTATGGTTTAAAGGATTTACCTTAAAAAAACACCCTAATTTTTTTAAATAATATATTATAAATATATCACTGCTTAATTACGGACATCCACTCGTTTTAAGGAACATTGTTGCGTTTCAGAGTTATGCTTTATCAAATAGCGAAAAAATTCAATTTTCAGCTTTTTTCTGCACTTATAATCTTAATAGAACCCACTAATTTCTTTACTTAATATTAAAGCTCACAGTAAAGACAAGCTCTGTCACCCAGCACTTTCCAGTGATAATGATGATCTTAGTAGATAACTTTCATTCGAACTTTCAAAAAATGTTAGATCTACATTTAACTATTTTGTTTTGCTTAGCTTTTCCCAAAACTGCATCGTTACATCTTGTTGGTGAATGTATCTACTAACAGGTGCAAAAAAAAATCAACGAAATCTCGTCCCATTTTCAAGAAGAAAAAGAAGACAAAATTGCATATAAATGTTATGTTATAAATCACACCCCTTCTCATTTTTGACACAGTAATGATGGATCTTCCCCTTCAAAGTTAAAAAATTTTTTTTAAATGAAAACTGTATAAGTAACAGAAACGTATAATTAAGGAGGAATAAACACTGAGGCATTATAGCATGAAAAATAGAAAAAAAATGCTTTATTTAATAATGTATTTGTATAAAGTACTGTTAGAAATAAACAATAAAACATAAAACAATACACTTTGTTATTCATTTCCTATTATTTACTCATTTTTTCGTGTCAGTCTTTACGAAGGCTTGGCATGGGTTTCCGTGATGGCGATGATGTCCGGAGAATAGCCCGTAACGAAATCAATAAGCTCTGCCATTTTTGAGGTAACATTGTTCGCATTCCACGGGACTATTTTAAGTGCAATACTTTTATTTTTACTGACCATTTTGAATGTTCATTAATTCATTATTTTCCTCAATATCCTGAGGGTTTTTCTTGAGCTGTGAGGTTACTTATTCGCTTATTAGTTGTTGAAGATCAATAGAGATGTCAATCGCTTATTTGAGAAGTCTGGGAAGCATAGGTTCTATTTTCATTCTAATTTCCTTTAACAATACTTGCATAAAATTTGGGAAATTCACTAGGGATTATGGTTGATTTTTATTTAAAGTCAAATGATTTGGTTCTGTTGGGGTTGTTCTTATATTTTTCCACAATTCCTAAACATTTCTCACATCTGGAGAAGTTTGCTGGGTGTGAGCCATTGCAATTGCAGCGTTTTGGTTCTGTTCGCTTGTTATCACAGTCCTTAGTCAAATGTGTCCCGCCGCACTTAACGCTCCTCGTGGGGTGGCTATAATTACTTTAGCCGTGGAAAACATTTTGGCAACGGTGACCAGTTAATTAGGCTAGACATTTATTCGTCTTACCCGTAACTTGAAATATAAAGATGATAAGTGGGTCTTTATAATCTGACTTAATTCGATTATTCAGTTTTTGCAGCTTCGTAACAGTCTACTGAGGTATAATCATCTTGTTTAAATCCTTAATCGATTCATTATCGATTAAGAATAATACTACAAAGTATCCCCCATCCCCTCTTAACAGTCTTACCTAATATAGGTTCTGAAAACGCAATCTTCTAAAATATAATAGCAGTAGAAATATTGCGGAAAAGATATTTCAATGAATCTGTAACTGGATTGCATTACTAATGAAGACCGACGGAAGTAAATTCTGAAACACATAATTTAAAGAAGGCAAATATCAAATTAAAAAAAAAAGATGACCATCCATCAGTTTCCCATTTACAAAATTCTTAAAAATATGAGCGTTTCTTTTCTCAGGTATAAGTGATTAAGAAAAGATTAACTCTTTCATTTATAAGTTCACTCCCGTGACATATAATATGAAATACCTACAATTTGGCGATATAATCTCAAAATGCTCATTTTTGAAAATTTTTCCAACTTATTTTTTCTATATATTTCTTAGAAATTTTATAATTAAATAAATAATTCCAGGAAACTGGAGCAGTAAGATATTACGGTTGATTTCTAACTTTATTCTAACCGGGAGCCTCTTCAGGTTTAAATTAGTTTACTTTGGGTCCACGTACATGGTGAATGTTATTTTACTTTATAACCAGCGTTGAATATCAGACCCAATTTTAAGTTTACGACTCTATTGTTCAATTTCGTAGCCTAGTAATTTTTAACCCAATCCAGAAGACAAGAGCACTCCTGTATCATGCATTGAGAGACATTCAGCTTCGAGGATGATTTTTTTGATGGAACTAACCCGCATTTGCGTTACATGCAGAGGTGAATCTCCCACGGTTAGCCAGACTCTAACTCATGTTTTGTCTACCACTGAGGATATTTTATGCCAGTACTGTGGTCAATGCGAGTCGGATGCGGAATCAATATCGTCCAGTCATAGCTGGGTTTTGAAAGCAGGAAATTTCATTGGAAGACGAACGACTCTGACCCATCACGGCTCATACATAGTGAATTTTATGTTGCATTTTATAACCGTCATTGAACGGGCGAATGAATTTTGAGTATACAACTACCAATATTCAACTTCATAGGTTTGTAATTTTTAACCCAATCCAGAAGCCAATTGAACTCCTTGATCAAGTATTGGGAAAAATTTACCTTCTCGGAGGACATTTTGATGGAAGTAGCCAGCATTTGAGTTATTACATGAAGAAGAAAACCACGAAAGCTTCCCATGGTTAACGTGACGACAAGGGTATTCCAACTCATGATCCGTCTACCAATGAAAATACTTTATGCCAGCACTGTGATCGGTGTGAACCAGGAGCAGAAGTTGAATCAAACTATCATTCTCGTAATGTGGAGGCAACCATCTATGACCTAACTCTAGCCATCTATGACCGAGCCTAATTCTATGACTTGAGCCACCACGCCTCTACATGGTGAAGAGAAATTTTGGAAAATCTGTTTCCATAGTGAATTCATGCGTTAGTGTTCGGAATTACTACTCACCATGCGAGATTTAAATATAGGTGTCAAATGTTGGAAATATAGCCGACCGGCCTGTGTAGGGGCAGGGAACTGTCCTTGCATCAGAAAGGTTCTGGGTTCGAATCTCGGTCAAGACATGATGTTCTTTCCTTCTCTGTACTATCTGTCCTCACTGTGGGCGCGGCGTTGGCCTATCTAATATGGTGTCCTTGAAAGAGAGTCCAACAAAATCGCTTGTTATATGCCTGAATGGACGGATGCTAACACAGGTGGGCATTGGAAAAAAAAATTTTGGAAATATAGAAATTCAACAATTATTTCCTTATATAAGTATTAAAAAAAATAAACAGACTCCCATTTTCAAATAATGCATTTATTCCTTATAATATTAATAATGTAAAAAAAAAACTATAATAAACTTAATTAATGCTGTTATATTTTTATTTGACGACATTCCTAAACATTTACTCATTAAATCTTAAATTTTCCTAAACAAAATATCGAACACGAATTTAATAAATCTGAAGAACTACAATAAATCAATTTAATGTTATTATAGATCGTTTTGAAATGCTAATAACTCAACAACGAAAACTTAGAGATTAGATATATAATAACGTTGTATTGTAAAAGTTCTAGTGGAGCAAGAGATTTTGAGGTTTAATTTAATTTTATATCAGAAATAAAATATTTTCTTCTGTTAATTTAATATATTCCAACTAAATAAGTTCAAATATTGGTTATTAAAGCATCAAAAAGTAATTAGTTTCAAGCGCAATGAATACTAAATATAATGATCGATTGCATTAAATAATTATGTTAATTAATTACAATGAATAATTACATTAAAAATTTGTTATATCGATTGATTATAAAAAAACTAAATTCATAAAAAAATAAATATTCATAAAAAAACTAATTAGACTGATTAATTTAAGCGAATTAATTTAATCGAAAATATCCAACGATAACAGGAGTTTCAATAGATAATGAAAATGTTTGCACTTAATCAGCTAGATCAACGATTTTACTTCAACTGACAAACATTTTCGAAAATCGAAATTATTCAACTTATAATTTTCTTGTGATAACTTTTAAAATTATTATTAATTTTTTAAAAAAAAAACTCACTTCTGCAATGTTCAAATTCTGATGCTGAATTTGAAAACATTCTTTCACTAAATCCATTTTAAGAAAAGAAATCAAATGACATGTGAAAAAATAAATGCAGCAAATACAAGAAAAACTGTAGAAGTAAACAAGCTTCAGATTGCTAGATGCTAAAAGTTTGACGGCAAATAAAGGAAATTAACCGGTGCCATGCCTGA